TGAATTTTCACTAAGATCGTGTAAGCCTAAAATTTCTTAATTAACAAAAGAACATAGTAAATAATTGTAATACTCTTGATTTCTGACATCAATTTCTCGAAAGAATTTTTACTTACATGACAAACATAGTTTACGGAGGACGGAATCTTTGTTGATTATAATCGGATATAAGTGGAGATATCTTTTTTTTGTTGGGTAAATGTGAGTGGAGATATCTATTTTTCAGTATGCTGAAATAAAACAAAACTGATTAACTAACATAAAAGATGACAAAACATGAAAGAAATGTATGTCCACTTAGGAAATCAAAGGTAGGGGTTCCCAAGTGAAAAGTAAGAGTTGAGCACGCGATCATCCACTAACGAGTTCTTGGTCATTATAAAAGTTCACAGCGACATGAGTATATACATATTTTTCTAAACAAAAAAAAAGAGTATCCTCTATATATTAACTGAGAAGACAATAAGTGAACAAATCATATTTGTTACTCAATAAGGATTTTATCAGACACAACAATTGAAAAAAAAGAAAAAAATTTGAAATCGAGTGCGTGGATCTCATGCGCGACGATTTCTCTCCCAAACCACCGCTGAAACTCTCTCTGTTGATGTTCATCATCTCGCCTCTCTGGTGCCCAATGTCGTCCGGTACTGCGAGAGGGCAACTCTCTCTTCTTCGTTTTGGACCTCTCAAATCTGCTCAATTTCTCGTGGTGAGTGGGATGGAGTTCCGCCGTGTGTGACAGTCGTGTCTCGTTGCTAGGGTTTTTTTCAACCGTAGCTTGCTCGAAGATGGCGATTTATACGGTGAAGATCAGCTGCTTCCATGCGCTTGCCTCACGCATGTCGTCCGGCCCATATCTATTTTTGTAGATCCCTCCCCTCCCTTGCAATTCCTGTGATGGAGTGTGGTTCGACTAGCTGCAGACTAGTGCCTACGGTAGATTGGGATTTTTCTTTACATTTTCCCAAAATTCCAATCTAAAGCCATACAAAGTTTGAAAATCGATTTAACACCACACAGAACTTGAAAAAGATCCAAAACCACATGCATTCAGATTTTGATGAATTTTTTGTTCAATTTATTAAAAATGCTACGCTTAAATAAGAAAATTACTTCAATTTTGCATCCAATACCCAACGAAGATGATTTAATTTGAAACTTGAACCTCATTTTCCAATGTTGTGTTATTTTGATTTTGTGGATTTGGCTACACAATTTTTTTTTGTTTGCTACACAATTGACTTATTTATATTTTAAGTCATATTTTTATTAAATTGACCAAAAGTCGATTTCAAAAAGTTAATATGTCAGAAAAAAACGTTAGAGCACCCTCCAACGTTATTGAGTTTTTCAAGTACATTATAACAATAAAAATAATAAAGTTTAATTATTTCTTTTAATTTTAATATATAAAAAATGAAAAAAAACCAATAATACTCAAATATGTGTAGAATGAATCTCTTAACAATATAAGGTTCTCAAAGGAGAATATTTTATCTCTCTCTTTCTCTTAGGCCATCTCCATTCGGGGTTTCTTGATAGAAATCCACTATTTAAAATAAAAGAAAAAAACAAAAAGTAAGAGAGAGAGGAAGTCAAAATTTTTTTAAAGAAACTTATTTGAGATGTGTCACTTTTCAATTTGTCATATTTTTACTTTTTACT